TTATGACTTTCTTAAAATCTAGTGATAGCTCACCTTATTATTATTTATAGAATGTTTAAAGACCAAATCATAATGTTAGCATAGGGATATAAACATTATGTAAGGGTTAACATTACCTATAAAAAAAATTATGAGACAGAGTGTATTTTTTCCTCATCATTAGATATTTGTTAAGAATAATTTTTAAAATTCTCACAGAGCAAATGCGGTTTCCTTTCCATGGTCATAGAAATGAGAAGTCTAGTGTATACAGCGAGAATAGGTGATACATCCTCATGTATTCCTTCAAGCTGTAGATTTCTGTTCATGGTTCAGCAAACCATGTCAACACAAATTGTTTGTAAATGTCACCGTGAAAAACCTCCAGGGGACTTGGTGACCCTAGTGAAAGTTGACATCATTCTTCTAATATTATCCATAATTTTGAGAGGAAAGAAAAGAAAAGGTAAACATTTTGAACGAGTAGAAACAAAAACCAGCTCTTCTTGCATCTAAGAGATTCGAATATGACAAACATATAGAAACATAGAAACACAGAATGTGACGGCAGATAAGAACCATTCGGCCCATCTAGTCTGCCCAATTTTCTAAATACTTTCATTAGTCCCTGGCCTTATCTTATAGTTAGGATAGCCTTATGCCTATCCCACGCATGCTTAACCTCCTTTACTGTGTTAACCTCTACCACTTCAGCTGGAAGGCTATTCCATGCATCCACTACCCTCTCAGTAAAGTAATACTTCCTGATATTATTTTAAACCTTTGTCCCTCTAATTTAAGACTATGTCCTCTTGTTGTGGTAGTTTTTCTTCTTTTAAATATAGTCTCCTCCTTTACTGTGTTGATTCCCTTTATATATTTAAATGTTTCTATCATATCCCCCCTGTCTCGTCTTTCCTCCAAGCTATACATGTTAAGATCCTTTAACCTTTCCTGGTAAGTTTTATCCCGCAATCCATGAACCAGTTTAGTAGCCCTTCTCTGAACCTCTCTAAGGTATCAATATCCTTCTGAAGATACGGTCTCCAGTACTGTGTACAATACTCCAAGTGAGGTCTCACCAGTGTTCTGTACAATGGCATGAGCACTTCCCTCTTTCTACTGCTAATACCTCTCCTTATACAACCAAGCATTCTGCTAGCATTTCCTGCTGCTCTATTACATTGTCTGCCTACCTTTAAGTAATCAGAAATAATCACCCCTAAATCCCTTTCCCCATATGTTGAGGTTAGGACTCTATCAAATATTCTGTACTCTGCCCTTGGGTTTTTACGTCCAAGATGCATTATCTTGCACTTATCCACATTAAATGTCAGTTGCCACAATTCTGACCATTTTTCTAGTTTACCTAAATCATTTGTCATTTGGCTTATCCCTCCTGGAACATCAACCCTGTTACATATCTTAGTATCATCAGCAAAAAGACATACCTTACCATCAAGACCTTCTGCAATATCACTAATAAAAATATTAAAGAGAATGGGTCCAAGTACAGATCCCTGAGGTACCCCACTGGTGACAAGTCCAAGCTTCGAATATATTCCATTAACTACAACCCTCTGTTGCCTGTCACTCAGCCACTGCCTTACCCATTCAACAATATTGGAATCCAAACTTAAAGATTGCAGTTTATTGATAAGCCTTCTATGTGCAACAGTGTCAAAAGCCTTACTGAAATGTAGGTAAGCAATGTCTACTGCACCACCCTGATCTATAATTTTAGTTACCCAATCAAAAAAATCAATAAGATTAGTTTGGTATGATCTCCCTGAAGTAAACCCATGTTGTCTCTGATCTTGAAATCCATGTGTTTTTAGATGTTCAACAATCCTATCCTTTAACATGGTTTCCATCACTTTCTCCACTACTGAAGTAAGGCTTACTGGCCTATAGTTGCCCAACTCCTCCCTATTACCTTTCTTGTAAATGGGCACAACATTCGCTAACTTCCAATCTTCTGGACTACTCCTGTTAACAATGATTGGTTAAATAAATCTGTTAATGGTTTTGCTAGTACACCACTAAGCTCTTTTAACAGCTTTGGGTGTATTCCATCAGGTCCCATTGACTTATATGTCTTTACTTTTGACAGTTGAAATAGAACCTCTTCCTCTGTAAACTCACGTGTAATAAATGACTCTTTTATCCTTTTTCTCAACTGAGGTCCCTTTCCTTCATTTTCATCTGTAAATACAGAACAAAAATATTCATTGAGGCAGTCAGCTAGACCTTTATCCTCTTCTACATACCTTCCTTCTTTTGTTTTTAATCTAACTAATTCTTGTTTTACTTTTCTTTTCTCATTTATGTATCTAAAAAAATGTTTTATCCCCCTTTTTTACTGACTGTGCTATTTTCTCTTCTGTGTGTGATTTGGAAGCTCTTATAACCTGCTTAGCCTCTTTCTGCCTAATCTTATAGATCATTTTGTCTCCCTCACTCTGGGTTTTTTTATAATTCCTAAATGCTAACTTTTTGTTTTTAACTATTTTGGCCACATCTGCGGAGTACCACAGTGGTTTCTTGAATTTTTGCTTTTACTGACAAGCCTAATGCAATTTTCTGTTGCCTTCAATAGTGCAACTTTTAAATAATCCTATTTTTCTTGGACTCCATTTAAATTGCTCCAGTCTGATAATGACTCCTCTACCCATATTCTAATTTTAGAAAAGTCTGTTTTTCTAAAGTCTAAAACTTTTGTTTTGTGTGGTGTGACTCAGTCACTGTTCTTATATTAAACCACACTGACTGATGATCACTGGATCCTAAACTTTCACCTACAGTAATATCTGATACCAAATCTCAATTTGTTAAGACTAAATCTAGTTTGGCTCCTCAATGACTTGTTTTAGAGACAATCCCAGTAGGGAGTTTAGAATATGTGTGCTCCTGGCACAAGCAGCTATTGTGGTTTTCCAGTTCATGTCAGAAAGATTAAAGTCACCCATGATAATAACTTTCTTCTTCTTTGTCATTTTAGCTATTTTTCAACTAGCAAATTATCTAACTCTTCTATTTGTCCCGAAGGCCTATAAATCACACCCACATGAGTTACTGTGTGATTACCAAATTCTAACGTAGCCCAAACGGACTCTATGTTTGCCTCACTAACTTTTATTAGGCTAGATTTTATGCTATCCTTCACATACAAGGCCACCCCTCCCCCTTTCTTGCCTTCCCTATCTTTCCTATATAAAGAGTACCCTGGTATTGCTATGTCCCAGTCATTTTTCTCATTGTAACATGTCTCAGTAACAGCGACTAAATCTACACTATCAGTTGCCATTATTGCCACAAGTTCATGGATCTTATTCCCTAAACTGCGAGCATTTGTAGACATGACTCTAAGCTTATCATTTTTAACACACTTGCTACAGGCACCTTCTGTCCTTGTTTTGGGGGACAATTGAATTGATGTTTTATCACCCTTTTGCCCCCCCCCTCCTAGTTTAAATACATCCTAGCAAAACCTCTGAACTGCTCACTGAGAACATTTGTTCCCTTTTGAGAAAGATGCAAACCATCTTTTTTGTACGGCTTATCTCCATTCCAAACAGAGCTACCATGAGAAACAAAGCCAAATCCTTGCCTCTCTCCATAACACCATTAGACTCTGAAAGTGCAGAAAATGAATTATGAAGAGCAACAGACTGTGCAAAATGCCTTTTATCCACAACTCTAAGTCTACAGATCCTACAGTAATCCATCTGCCATTCCTAGTATGTCTCTGCGGCAGTGGCTTTGCAGCAGTTCCAGTCTGAGTTTGTTCACCAGATAATTTACAAATCTCAGACTTCAAAAATACAATCTCCTGCCGCAAGATAGAGAACTGTCTACAGATTAGACAACAACCAAAAGTGGAACGTGAAACAAATGCATAGCAATTGTTACACTGAACTAAGTCTGCCATTCCAATTAGGAGAAAAATTTAAATCTAACAAATCTTAACTTTGTATTTATCCTCCTGAATACCTCAGATTACCTCCAGGTTATCTCCAGAATATCTCCAACTACACACTTAGAAACAGCACTCTCCAGAATATCTCCAACTACACACTTAGAAACAGCACTCTCCAGAATATCTCCAACTACACACTTAGACACAGCACTCTCCAGAATATCTCCAACTACACACTTAGAAACAGCACTTTGAAGTAGCACCAAGCTATATTAGACAAGCTAATGACACCAGGCCTTATATAACTCCTAAAATCACCGCCCACTAGGAATGTTTAACACCTGGGTAGGCCTCTGCTTATTTGAAAACAATAGCTAATTAACCAGCAATCAACAGCAAGTAACTAGCTTAATCAAATCAAATGCCTTATAATTACCAACAGGAATTCAAACCTTGTGCAATCAGTAACCTTTTCCTACAGATTAATCTTACCTGTAACAGTAGAAAAGAAAGCTCTTAGCACAACTCTTAGACAGTTGAAGCTTCTGTAAAACTCTCCAGAATATCTCCAACTACACACTTAGAAACAGCACTTAGAAGTAGCACCAAGCTATATAGTTAATCTGACATGTTGTGCTTCTATCTTCTAACTTTAGCCTTGATTTAATCAGCATTTTAAATGATTTAATACTGTTAGAACTATTTCCACATGATTTATCTACAAAAATTCCCATAGACTTTAATAGTCTTTACTGATTCATAGGTATGCCCCCTCTCGGTCTCTCCGCTCTACTGGTGACCTTCTCCTGTCTGCTGCTCACACCCTTACTGCAAATTCACACCTGCATGATTTCTCATGGGCTGCTCCTTTCCTTTGAAACAGCCTGCCTACCCCTGTCAGACTCTCCCCTAGTCTTCAATCCTTTAAGAAGTTCCTCAAAACCCATCTTTTCAGGATTGCTTATGGCCTCCAAGAGTAACTTCTATCTCTCAAACCTTCCTCTTGCTCTCTGCTACCTTCCCACCATATACAAACACAAAGATAAAGCACCGTGCTTACAGCAGCAGTAGCTTATTATCCAACAGCTTAAAATACATAGCAAAAACAAAGAGAACGTTACCTGCGCTCTGGCCTAAACATTTAAATGTACATGGGGATTTAGGCCAGAGCGCAGGTAACGTTCTCTTTGTTTTTACCTTCCCACCATGTCTATTTGCTGTCTCTCAAAACCATTCCTATTGTGTTTTTATACCCGGGCTCTTCTAGATTGTAAGCTCGTTTAAGCAAGGTCCTCAACTACCTATTGTTCCTGTTACATTTTGTTATTGTTTCATTTGGTAAATTCCCCACTTAATGTAAAGCGCTGCGGAATAAGCTGGCGCTATATAAATAATTACCAATAATAATAATAGTGACTATGTAGATAAATCACTTGGAAACTTTTCTAACTTTTTTAAATATTTGGGAAGCTTATTAAATGAAGGCCTTCACTAGATGGAGTATTAATATGCTAAAGAAAAACTTTGGCTCTGTATTGAGTTGTTCTTGAGCTCTCAAACACAAGTTTGATCTAAAAATAAAATGAAGAGAATAGCATCACTTAGATGGCATTATTTTTAACAATGTATAACATCATTTATTTTTAGAAACTATCAATTTATTAATGCTGGTTAAGCTTTTCAAATGATTCAACATTTTTATTAAACTTTTTTAATTTATTTAGTAAACATATTAATAATTTTTTGTGTTCGGGCATTCTCATTTGATATAGAATAAGATGGGTTGTAGAGATGTAGCTTTAGGAATAATCAGTTGAGGTGTGCCGAAACCGACGTATGCTGTAGGATGGTAAAAAGTGGGCTTACATAGAGGAAATATGAACAATGGGAGTGGAGTGTGGGGCTATTCGTCTGACCAACAAAGGTAAGTAGGGAAAGGGGGAGTCCCTTTTATAGGTCTATAGCCCCTCCCACAACTTCAGGCCATGCCTTCCAATTTGTGTTCGGGGCATTCTCATTTGATATAGAATAAGATGGGTTGTAGAGATGTAGCTTTAGGAATAATCGGTTGAGGTGTGCCGAAAACCGACGTATGCTGTAGGCCGGTAAAAAGTGGGCAAAAAGAGACATATTAATGCAAAACATTATACAGGATCATAGTGCATTTGTTAATTATCAAGTGGACATTTTAATGAAAGCTTCCTAATTCCTGAATCGGCTGTGGTATGCAAGTCGCATAAGCCTATGATTTCCAGCGGCCCCGTGTCTTAACGTGTGTGGGGATGTCTTAGCTATAGGGCATGGAGGCTGCTCCTATCCTAAAGGAGTGCCCTGAGTAGTCGCTAGGGTTTAGTTCGAGCCCGGTGAATGAGTAGGTGGACATAGTGCATGAACTTACCTGTGGTAAAGACAGTATTGTACAGCGACAGTAATGGTTCAGTGGTGCATATGGTGGTGTGCCCAAGAAAGTAACCAGCACCTTAACCGGGCACCCAGCATTGCTTGTAAGGTAGTAGGTTATTTGCACTGGCTCGCCCATCTGACTCGTCTTAGTTTTAGGAAGGGACCGGACATAGTGGTCTGTGTGTTTTAGAAGATAAGAGGTCAACAGGCACTCTTGTTTATGATGTTGGCCGCTGATAGTGAGTTATTTTTTTGGCCTGAGAAAGCAGTTTTGATAACTGCATTGATGCGTGGCTCGGAAGGTGCATGGTCAACTGGTTCTGGTTTGAACATTGTATGTCTATGGCCAGTATTTAGTTTTAGCAGGAACGTCCGCTTGGCTATGTCTCTAAGGTATGGATGGGGTAGGAGGATAGGAACCCTTGTTGTTTGGGAAGGAGAAATACGTATAGTGTTGAATGCCCGTGAGAAGTTTAACCGTGTTGTGCGATAATTTTTAACGTAAGGTGGCAAAAAGAGGTGAACGCCATAAGTGGTGAAACCTCAAACCAGCTATCTAAGTGATGGTCCGACGTGAAACGTATTGTATAAGTGGAAAACCCTGTAGCAAGCGTGTTGCGTGTGTCACATATTCATCCGCTTATAGAAATGTGGTTAATGACATTTACTGTCCACACAGGAAAAGTTGTGCCGAGCAGCAACCTAATCCACAGAAGGGTTAATGCTGAGCAGCAATTATGCAAATGAAACCTGGTAACTGACTTTGGGGTCAAAGGCCGGTTACAGCCTATCAGAACTAAAGGAGGGGTATTTAGGCCCAGTTCTCAGCCTGCTCAGTGCCCTGTCGTGGTTTCCCTTGTGGTTGTCTGAGAGCGCGTTCCTGTTTATAGTTTTCTACCTGGTTTTTGACTTTGGCTCTGTTTATTGATTTCTCTATATTCTGGTATCCTGACTCCTTGCTTTCCTCGTCGCTGTGTCCCTTTCTGTGTTCCCTGACCTCGGCTAGTATTTTTGACTATTCTTTGTACGTTAAATCCGGCCATTCTAAGGACCGGTAATACTTTACTTATTTGTCATCCGTGCTGTACAGTTCTATGTGCTGGATCAAACAGTAATCCTGACAGCATGCTGGTGGACAAGGCCAGTTTAGTCAGAGCCCGGCTATGTTGGCAAGGTTTATGTAATCCATGACCTTGGCCATAAATGACCCCCATGCCATGGCTGCTGTCACGGCAGCTGCCACAATAGTTTACCATTACGTGTGGTTAAGAAAGTCCACCATATGTGTAGGTCAGCCATGGCTTGGTTGTCTAGGGACAGCCCCTGATCATCATGCGGGAGGGTGGAAAAAGCAAAGTGGTCTTAGATAAAAGCACGGTCTGCGGTATGATGCGCATGGCAAAATTTAAGGAACCTGGTAGGGATTGTAGTTCCATGCGGTTGCAAGTACCAAGCAGGAAGTGGTAATTGGTGTTGTTGCGACTGTTCCTATTTCTCACGTGGTAACTTGTTGGCATGGATGCCGAGTCAAGTTGTATGCCCAGGAATGTAACGATAGTGTCTAGGTCTTCTGTGACCTTAGGGAATACTGGGACACCCAAGTGTTCAGACATACTAATGGCTTCCTTGAAGCTTCTAGAGGGAAAGGCGTTCCCTTTGACCAACAAGAAATCATCTCGGGAGTGTATGACTTTGGGGCATCTGGATATGTTTAACCCCAACCAGCAAAGGGTTCAACGAATATATTGAAGATGGTGGGGTGCTCTTGACCTGAAAGTTAAGTGGGAGGAGAAATATATAACTGCTGCCCATAAATGCCCTGTAAGTGCCAGTGTAGGGTGGATGATGGCAATCTGAAATGCGTTTGTGATATCAGTTTTACTTAACCAGGCTTCCCCCCCTGTTTGAGTGATAGCTGTAATGGTATGAACAATAGTGGCATACTGTAATGAAAACTCCTCGGAGGGTATGAGGGAGTTGAGACTTGGGGTAGCCGAGGCGTGAGGTGCAGATAAGTCTATGATCAGTTACAGTGTGAGGGAAGATTCCCTGTGACAATCCCAATGGGATTGCGCCACGCTGTAAATGGTGTAGATCGGAGAGGCCCACGTGGAAATATTTCTGCCATTTCTTGGGCCATGAGTGTAATGCCACATTGTCGTGTGGGACTAGCAGCTGTTGGATGCTGCTGTGATGACTGCAAGTTAGGGCATTCTAGATTCCCCCAAAAGTATATGGCAATACCTGTACGGAAGCCCTTTAAAATTCGGAGGTTAGGAAATCAACTAAATGTCTGGAAGGGTGATGAGTTAGAAAGTACTGGAAATGCATAATGTTTACAGACGTGAAGTAAGGTTCAGGGTACATTTATTGGGACACATGTTTTTTTGCATGTGCCCTGACATATTGAGAACATATTTGCAACAGTCTGCATGCACTGAAACTACATGTGCCAACATGGAAATTGTTGCCAATCTGGGATTTGCCAAAGAGAATGAGACAACCCAATTTGTCTCTGGTAGTTCTCTACGTACTACCAGAGGTGCTATAGCCTGGAGCCTGAAACGTGATCGTCCGCTGTGTTGGGACCAAATTGTCGTGTGGGACTAGCAACATCTTCTCCAAGTGAAAGTGTGATGACTCTAGCTGGAGTGTTAGGTAGAGATAAATCCTTACCACCTGCTTGATATATTTGCCTCCGAGCGTTGAGGCGGGGTGTTGGCCTCACGGGACCACTATACGATAGGGGAAGATGCCAAGAAAGGAGAATACCTATTGGAAACCTATAGTCCCTAATTTCAAGTACGCTAAGGATATACCCAGGGGGAAACAGAAAATGCATGTATATACCACATGAGCAGGTGTATGTACCTGGTAGTATGATTAGATACCCTTACTGGTCGTAAGGGTTATTAGTACCTGTATCCCGGACGGGTAAAACAATGTATGAAAATTGAATATAGACATTTAAAAGCGTATACCCATATGTGTGTTATGCAAGTTTAATAGAGAAAAGTGCTCCATCCCAATGTTTATTGTATGCTTGTAATGCCCCTGTTTGAAGGAAATTAACTTGTCTGGAGTGTTATATCATGTGTGACATGGAATACAACTGTACCCCGAAACATGAGTGTAGTGAACCATGACTGGCAGCTGAATAACCTAATATGGGAAAATACGTAATTGGAAGGACTTATATTTTAAGCGTGCAAACATGCAAATATTCCGTATTAGACTTTGGAATCCTGCATAGTGCTTTAAATAGTATGTGCATTCTTGTGTAAATGTATGCGTATTGTCAGTAAATGTAACTAAATGCCTATGTAGGCAGGTATGCAGGAATGATTATATAATAGCAAGCATGAGTTGTAAGGAAGTGTTATTGTGTAATTATAGTGGGAATGTTATGAGGGGAATAACCATATGTCTGAAAAGCCTGTTGTATACCATTGGACAGATAGGAGTCAGTATAAAAGCAAAAATGCTGTAGTTAGTTTGTTTGCTTATGAAGTGAAATAAAGTCTGAGAAGCCTGTAGTACACCGAATGATCGATAGGGGTCAGTGTGTAGGTGAAAATGCAGTGGTTCGTTGGTTTGTACATGCAATGCAATAATGTCTAAGAAGCCTGTAGTACACCAAAGACCGGTAGGGGTCAGTGTGTAGGCGAAAATGCAGTGGTTCGTTGGTTTGTACATGAAATGCAATAATGTCTGAGAAGCCTGTAGTACACTGAATGACCGGTAGGGGTCAGTGTGTAGGCGAAAATGCAGGGGTTCGTTGGTTTGTACATG